AAGGATTATCTCCCTTTGAATGCTGTGAGGCTGGGTTTCCCAAACCTCACAATTGAGGGGAGGTTCTGAGCCAGCAGGTCTGGGATGGGGTTGGGGGATCTGGTACAGGGTCAGGACAGGAAGCACTGCTTGAGGGTACCGTGTGAAGGAGAGGTGTGCTGTGACATCTCGGCCCCCTCTGCCTTGCTTACATGGGTTTCTGGGCAGCCCCTTGGCGAGTGCGTCAGAATTCAGTTTCTGCCACCAGCCAGCAAATACTTACTAACAGGATACTATAGGCTTTCTAGATCATGGCTGGTACCCACCACATGATGCTTTTAGTTTTGATTTTCCCCAAACGTATTTTACCCTGCCAGTCTTGGCTGTTTGGGTAGTACCTATGTCTTAGTGCCTGACTCTGTGGTCAGCCACACAGGATCAGGCACACAGGTGACCAGTTAATGGGAAAAAAACCCTCAATTTGGTGTTAGCCCAAGCCAAAGTCTACACTTAAAGAGCATCTGTACTTTTAGGCCAAACATGGATGAAGCAGGCAAGATGAAATATTCCAAGAAGGTTTTCAAGAAACAGAAATGGTCAGACATGACGGCTTTGTTTGGTGACTCTGCAGGCTGGGAGAGCAGGGACGGTGAATCGATTTCAACCAGAGAACCAACTCCAGTGACAGGCGGGGGCTGCGTAGAGGGCTGCGCCGGGGAGGGTTGAGGTCAGGCGCAGGCCCAAAGGGACAAAGTCCAGCGGCTGACCAACGAGGGGAGTGGAGGGTGAAACAGCAGCGCCCACATTACAGGACGGGCAGAGTGACGGGCGTGCGGAAGCTCTGGGACTGGTCGAACGGAAGCAGTCACTTCCTTTGTGAAGGCCAGTTCTGAATGACCAAGGCATCTGTGGCACGATGGGTTGGGTGAAGCGCACGGATTGGGTTTCGGGCCCAGTCCTCCTGGGACTGGCCATCTCAGTGTGTATGTGATGGCTGAGGGTGAGGGAACGAGAGCTAGTGCCTGTTAAGTGGTAGCTGTGTGCCAGTCGCCACTAAGTGCTTTATACACATCACGTTATTGCATTAACCGCTCCGAGCCTGCTTCTCAGTCGTGAAATGGGAATGTCATCAGCGTGCTGTGTGGATTTAATAAGGTAAGAGGGGTGAAAGTTCACCGCACACCGGAAATTGTCATAGACCCATACGGTACTTGTGCTCAGGGCATAATAGAGTAGTCAGCTGTAGGACTCAGCGTCAGAAGGATGTCGGTTCTGATTCTAGCTTCATTATTACTAGATTTCCCCATATCCCAGTTTCTTCATATAAAATATGGAGATAATATCAGTACTATCTAGTAATAGGGCCAAAACAACAGGAGACGATGCATGTAAAAGAGTGATCAGCAAAATGCTTGGCACACAGTAACTGCTTTTAAAAATCATAATTTTTTGTTAAAATTATTTAAAAAGATCAGATCTTTGCCATAGCCTTCATTAATAGGTTCTGATAAACTTTTCAACCATAGGAAAGTCTGGTGGGAAACTGGATCAAGACTGGGTCTTGCAGATCAAAGTCCGACTCTCTCACCCCCTGATCTCAGAAACAAATGGCAGGAGGTAAAGTGGGGGCGTTGGCCACCCCCGCCGTCAGAGGGCATGCAGCTGTGGTGGCACCGCGGAGCGCGGGAGTGGACGCTCACAGGCCACTGCCGCGCAGGGGCCAGGTCGTTTCCTGTGGAATCAGCAGGGCTGCCGGGTAAACGCCGTGCACAGACACTCCCTGCTAAGAACGAGCCAGAGCAGGCAGCGAAACCTCCGCTCCGACTGACACAGGACGGACGTGCAGAGGAGCCCATCCATCAGTGTCAGGGAAGACCTGAAGTGCCTGGCTAGTCAGCTGAAATAAAATAAATTATTTACTGATCCCAGGATCTAGTTGCTCAGTTCAATGTTCATAAAGGGTGTGCAATTTGCTGCCCTGTACTTTGTGGTAGATTCTGTTTCAGAAAGAAAGAATTTCTGGATTGCTGTGTGCAGGTTCTTGTTGTCAGAACGAAAGGGTGTCTGTCACCTGCTC